ATAAAATAAACAAGTACCTGTGGTTTTTACTTTCCAATAGGGAGAATGGCGATGACCCACAACGCGGGTTCAATGCGTATTGGTGGGTGTTAACGACTGTGGATGCCTTCCGAAGAACGGTGGCACTCGAGACAATAAAATTTTCCGTCATCTATGACTGGTCCTCCTGAAAGTTCGACTTACGCATCACACGCTGAACGCGTTAACTAATATATTCCTACAATATTCAAAACTGTAAATAGATCAAGAATTGTTGTTCAACGAAATTGAAACCCTTCTCGTGACGTTCAATCGTTTGATTTTACGAAGGGATCCACTGGGATTATAAATGCCGTAAGCACAATACTTTCCCTGAAGAATTGTGAATAAAAAAGTGACCTACTTTCATACTTGCGGGGGAGTTCTGGACAATGGAATCGGCAATAATCTGTTAACTTTTTACTGAAAAGCTTGCTTGTCAACGACAATATTAAAAGTCATTATCGTGATTTTTTTTTCTATTTTCTTTCGCTGCTTTTGTAACCCTGTAGACTTGTAATAATGAAACATTTCTAACAAAATATGTTTTGATCCAATATAAATGTAAATTTCATATAATCCAATATACATTACATTACAAAATATATTATTTTTACAAAAACGCCACGTCACGGCTCCTTTTCTTTCGATCGATAATAGATTATATATGCTTATATTTTAATTTGATGTTTTTATTTTACACAGAAAATATTAATACCTTTATTCAAAAATATATTCTTCCCGTACAGCATAAACTGTAAATTAGTTTAGTTTTAAAAATAAGACTATGAAGCATAAAAATCTTGAACAGAAGCTAAATTGCTCGGTTTGTAAAACTGTAGTCTATGTAGCTCTTTTACATTCTGATTTTTAGCTTTTGCTTTTATATTTGTCAATTGACAAATAAATTTCCGATTCGCATTGTTACACATCATCAGCCCTTTTACGTCCCCACTGCAGGGGCTCAGGCCTTCCTTATGGATGGTTAAGGAGGATGGGCCATGACCCACCACGCTGGCCCAATGCGCATTGGAAGGTATTAACGACTGCAAATGCAGCCGAGACCAACGGCTTAACGTGCCTTCCGAAGCACGGAGTAGCTCGAGATAATAATTTTTTGGTCACCCATCCCGTGACCGAAAGTTGCTTAACGACAACGATCGCGGGCCGCGGCGCTTATCCACTACGCCACCGAGCTACTCACACGTTTCACACTCGCATTGTTACACGTAATCCTCTAATACTCGAGTATCTATTCGTGAAGCAACAAAAATATAAAAAATATTTTGAAGAGCCTTTTATTGGTACCCATCTCGCACCAGACAGAGTTTGAAGGTCGAACTGATCGCTCGTTCGGAAGCTGAACATCGCTCGCTCCACTAATAATGCTAGGGGAAGTTGTTATGCGTCACTGGACATGAAATTGCGGAAAAGAACTATTGCTCTCACGATGGCTCCTTTTGTTACTACATGAATAGAATAAAATTATTCTGATTTTTCATGTTACTATTTTTCCGTTTAAAAAAAACATTTATTTGCTAGGAAACCGTAGACTTACAATCATTGTAAGATGTAAGTAAAACCTTTTTTCTAATAGTATTTCAATTACGTGTCTTATGAAGGTACTGCATATGTTTTTGTAATCGAGTAAATTAATGAGTCCCAGTTTCAACCTTTGAAGAATGTATTTATCTCATTAACATTCATAGTTGTGTGAAAAAGGGTGATGCTATTTTAAGAGCAACACTCTCTTTTTGGACCACCTAAGTAACTACGTAACAGGAATACATTATAGTGATGACGGAATTTACATGATTTTTTCATTATTATTCAGTCCCCAGCTCGTAACATATTGTTAATTTCTTTTTAGTTAAGAAGTATTTTATCCTGTTAGGAGTGTTATGTTTTACTTAAAAACATAGCAACTCCTAATTTCTTTTCACTACTAAATTGAGTCCTGGTAATGTTCATCATATTATTATAAGAAATATTATACACAATTAGTAAAACATAGATCTTCTACCATATTGATTAATTAATTAATGTTAGGGTTTTAGCTTCATCTATATCACGCAAAAAAATGTAGTTCTCACTGTGTAATAAGATATTTCTTGAGGAAGATTTATCATCCATGCACTACCGGGTCGAATCGTTAGTTATGATAATCCTTTTCTTTCATCATCATCATCACCAGCCCTTTTACATCCCCACTGCAGGGGCTCAGGCCTTCCTTATGGATGGTTTAGGAGGATGGGCCATAACCCTCCACGCTGGCCCAATACGGATTGGAGGGTATTAACGACTGTAAATGCAGCTAACGGCTTAACGTGCCTTCCGAAGCATGGAGTAGCTCCAGATAATAATTTTTTGGTCACCATCCCGTGACCAACCCTTGCGAAAGTTGCTTAACGACAACGATCACGGGCCGCGGCGTTTATCCACTACGCCACCGAGCTACTGATCCTTTTCTTTAGTATTATTTTTTCATACTTGTACATAACCCACATTATAAATTAAAAACAAACATCCTTCAGTCAAACTCAGCCAGTAAAATTCTATATATGGATGTTTGCCTAGCATATTTAACTATTATACAGTGGTACCCCACTATACAATTCAAGGCCTTCTCTTATATGTCGAGAATGAGTTTGTAAAGCGCTTCTAGCGATTTATTATCAAGACTACAAATTTATCTTTAACGAGGTCTATATCGAGTTTCGTTTCGTATTCTCTGGGTAAGTAATATCTCAAACCCACATACTACATACATATACACATATATTTACTGTAGGTTCATATTATCAGATTTCATCAAAAAACTTGCCTTTTTCAAGCATCTATTTACGTATCACTTCGAAAAAAATCTTGATGTCGTAGAACCGAAAGTAGGTCAACGACAAAATGAAAGTGAGACTTTTTGAAATATATCTCCATTTCCATGTGATCCCGTATAGGACGCCGTAAAAAGAAAACTAATTTTGCTCCATTAATCTCTGTGATTTCTCTCGGCTGAAATGATGATGATGATGAATCTCTGTGATCTCTATACAGATATCCTGTTGTCATTGGCAACTATAAAAGTATCTTTTTAATTCTACCAGCATTACCATACAACAGTTAGTGCTTTATATTTAATAATATTTTTCTCTAAGAATTCTGAACATAGTCATCATCAGAAAGAAGAGTAATAAATATTATCCTACTTTTGAATTCAAATTTATTTATTTATGCAGTCATTTATAAATTCAATTATTCAGTCTAGACTGATAAACACCCCTGAGTGTCAAACAATTGTCAATAGAAGTGTTTACGAGATTAATTTAAAAATAAACCTTCATTTAGATTAATTCTTCATTTGATTATGAAAGTTGGTTTTAAATTGTTGTTCGATCTCTTGTTGTTGTTGTTGTTCTTCATAAAATGTTCTTTAAATACTATCTACATTACGGTCATTAATAAATTATACTTATTTACTAATTTTTGTTTCTATTTTTCACATCAGGTTTAGGTATTCTATCTGAATAAATATCTTTTTGACGATTTACTATTTTTAAAAATACGTTTTGTGTAAAATCAATTATAAAATCAACAGAAAAATTTTCAACATCCCTAAGATTCGTCCAACCATGTGCAAATCGTACGTCACACGGTGTGTATTTATTTAGGACAGTTAAATGTAGTTAAACAAATTTTGAATCACTTTGGAAACTGTTGCGAACCGCTATTCCTAATTTGTTTATTTAAACAAGTGGTTTATTTGTGAATTACAAAGAAATTTTACGACATGAAATGTTGAATTAATTAAAATATTATTTGACTACGAAAGGTAAATGGATAATTATGTTATAGCCAAATATCAATGTAATCTATTCTTATAATAACTGGTGTATCCTAGGTTTGATCAAAGTCTTTCTTAAACACCGAAATAAATTTCCTAAAATATTTATTCATTGACTGAAATATTTTAATGAAACATAGATATACTTAACTGTTAAGTCAAATATCAATAAAATAATATTCTGTTTTAAACTTTGCCTAGTCAATCCTAGAACAGAATGAAACAAACAAACCTTTAACCACTGGACTTCTACAGGGTTATTAATAAACAAGGTTTAGCGTCAGAGCAAATTTTCGCTAAAATTACAATTTTAATTACCTACCAGGAGTTAATATTAATCCCGTAGAACCTCGTACTAGGTTAATCTTTGTTAAATTCCTGGTTAATAATATGAATTTTGACTAATACTAAGTGCAGTCTCAGCGTAAATTTAAGCCATCGCTGAAGCCTGTTTATTAATACCCCTGCTAATGTTTTTAATAGGTTTAAATATGCTAGCCCAACTCTTGCACTGTTCAGATAAGTTGACTAGTCAAATCTTATGATAAAAAGTAATAGCGTTTGATTATATTTATTAGTCTCTCCTAAATAAGACAAAAGAGTGTTAGTCAAAGATAGAAAAATATCATTTATTTGGACTTTGTATTTAGATTTTATGTTAGACTTCTATGAGTTATAAAGTATGTCTGATATAAAGTCTTCGTCATAAAGTCGAAACGCTGGAGTATCTATGTTTAACTATAACAATTGACAACTTAGACTAAATAATTAACGTAGAATATTAACTCAATGTGACTAATTAAATTTCTTAATAAAATTCCAGGCTGTTCCACTAACGATATTAACAGAGAACAGAAAAATGTTTTTATGTTTAATATATCTTTTGTCTAACATTTATATAACTATGTATGTAGTTTACAATATCCGCATTAGATTAAGTAGGTTTGATATTCCTATAAAATATTCTGACGTCACAACGTGGTCCTATAGTGTGATGTAAGCTCCAAAAGTTATGTACGTAGATGACCTTATAAATTACCTGGTAGGATATAAAACCATCAACCAAATTAGACCGGGAGGGTGTAGAGTGTAGCCCCACAAAATATAGGTATTCGCAGAGTCCGCCTGAATTCGAAATATCATAATGATCGTTAAGCTCCATCTGTTTGTCGGCAGTTCGGCAGGAGAACGAGCGCATGATGTACGACGTGCTCCAGGTGGGAGTCTTAAATCGCACCCAGTCGTCGGGGGCATCGCGCTGACGCCGCGCTACTCGCCAGGTCCACGCATCGACCACATTAGGCCAGCTGCTGCACCGCCCGAAGAGCCACCCGACGCGGGGCCCCAGCCCGACCCAGGCCCCGACACTAGCCCTAACACGGTCCCTGCTCACGAGGCGCATGCTGAGGCCCAAATCCAAGACACAGCCGCCTCGGTGAGCTATGCCCCGAGCCACGCGTGAACCATCGCGAGTCACTACTGGAAAGACAATACCAGTGTTGCTGTGGCATGATCACGTGTACTGAGAGAATTTTATAAACATAAGTTACTCTACGTGAATTGAGTGACAATGATGTGTAGCTAGATAATGTGAAATTGTGAATAGCGAAATGATGAAATGTTAATTGTTCAATTATAAAGGATAGAATAAAAGACACATTGTCAATAAAACTATGGGAGTAAAGCCGCAAGATGAGTATTTGACTATTTCTAATCTTACCTGAATTTTTAAGTTCTTTTTAATTAAAGTAAATTCATATTTTAGCTATGACAGAAGTTAAAGGCAATTGTTTTCATTGTGAAATAGATACCCAATTTATTCTTATTGAAATAGTTAAATACCCTCTTGCCGTACTTAATAACTTAAGATTTCAATTACGTGAAGCTAAAGAAAGAAATGTGACTACAATTTACCTTTAAAATAAATAATATATACACAGGGTTGAACGTCTAAAAGAAAACAAAGGAACGCTTGGCTAAATAATGAAAATTACAACAAGGGTACATGAACGGCCGCGGCCAAATATTTAGGATTCCACGTGCTTTAAACTCCCTTACAAGCTTATATAATATATGACGAATTTGGTATTTCAATAAATTAAGTTACTTTACCGAATATTCTAATTGGGATCAATCTGTTAATGCTATTGTTAATTAGTGTTATATTTCTTTCTTCAGCACGAGAATATTGTAATATGTAAAATTATGGTAGTGCTGCCATAAGGATGTGGCACAATCAAATAGGCTCTACCGAACGAATAGTTTAATGGATGAATCGGATTAACATCCCTTAAAATTTTGATTAGAGTATCATAACGTCTGTTCCATGTCGCACGCTATTTATATTGCTCCGATTCACCCATTTATCTAATTCGCCTCGGTCTATCCTGAAGCAGTAGTTATAAATGTCAGATTGTTAGTAGATAATGGATATTATTGCCTATAATTTTGACATTAAAAGCACAAGATTAAAATACTATTATTCAATATAATCACAATTACTTAAATACTTATTCAAATTTGGGCATACATTACATGACATATGTAATGTATGCCCAAGTTTGTTTATTGCTATCAGTCTCACATAATATCCTGTCTGTAGTTATAAATACTAAAGGCATTAGAAAAATGGTTTTGTTTAATATATTTACCGAGTTCCGAATATTCAGATTCTAGTCAAAATGAGCTTTTTGTGCTTAAATCTGTTAAGAATAAGAGCTTTTTGTAATGTAGTTGTTGTAGATATTTATTATATAATGTGCAACGATGGGTATATTGTTGATAATAAAATTGATGTGTATCTTACGTTTTCTTGGACGGCATTTGTAGTTTGACATTAACGAGTACTTTTAATTGCGAATATTAAGTACTAGCCGTCTTATTATAAAACGCGGAATAACAGCCAATCGCACAAACGTCTATAAAATTTGTTTTTAGTTAAAAGTGACATTACCCATACAAATTTGACATCCTTTAGAGCTTAAGGGCGTCATTAAACCTTAATAACGTTTCTGCAACTGACTGTAAATTTAGTTATTCGTTTAATGGCTAGTTTACACGTAATTAATAAAATCCGGAATGATGTCATCCGGCAGAGGACTGAAGTGATGGATGTCATCCAGAAATGTAGCAAGCTGAAGTGGCAGTGGGCTGGCCACATCTGTCGCAGAACCAACGAAAGGTGGAGCAGACGGGTTCTTGAATGGAGACCACGCCTCGGCAAACGTAATGTAGGACGCCTACCGGCAAGATGGACTGACGACCTCAGAAAGGTGGCCGGCAGTGGCTGGATGAAGACAGCGGGAGATCGTGTTTTGTGGTGCACTCTGGGGGAGGCCTACATCCAGGAGTGGACTGCATCAGATTGATATGTTGAAGTTCATAGTATTAACAAAATTTTAACTTGCTACTTATTTCTGTGTTTACACGTTCTTAATTGAATTAACGTGAAAAATGTACTTACTACCTTATAACATTAAAAACCAACCATAAACCATTGGCCGGTTTTGACAATGACAGAAAAGTCTAATTGAGACCTGTTGATTTAAATAATAGTTTAAGCCTGCTACTAAAATAAGTGCCCATTTTATAAAAAGATGGTTAGAGTGTTTGTTGACAACCATTTTAGTTTCATAAAATTCGTGTGTTGTTGTCATACATTAGCGAAAACAAAACTTCTTTTTTGAAAATGCATATTGTATGCTTAAACTACTATTATATTATTATTACTTTTGAGCCCAATCAGAAAAATGAATTTTCGGGCTTACTGTACAGTTGAAATTGAAAAACTATATTTATAAAATGTTACTGGTTACTGTCTATTGAGCTTACTTCCTAGACTAAAAACTTGAGGGCTAAAAAATTAATAGAAAAACAAAGTTAGTTATAATCGTATTTATAGCATTAACAGAACTCTTTTTAAAAGTCCATTAGTAATTTCCCTGCCAACCATAAAGGACTTCTGTTAGTTATGAAGAACATTGGGGTATAACTAGAGCCAGTTCATAATTGCTTTGAATATTTATAAGTTTGTGTCGAAGCTAAAAGGCTTAAAGAAGAAATGTTTACATATTTTATTTAGTAGCTACGACAATTTAAACAACAGACAATTATAAAAATCGATTTTAATTATAATCTAATCTAACCTACGCCTTTGCTAGCTTATCGATTTCCTGATTTTATTAAAAAAATATTCTTCACTATTTCCTGTTGATAATTGAATATGACAGAAAAAAAATCAAGCCTAAATTATCAATTATGTTGTCGATAAGAAACAACGGTTGACGCTTTTTAATGTTCATAAAAAATACCCAAAAAAGGCGTTCATTGTTTCGTTAAAACATATTTTATGGGGCTCGAACGTTCGACATAATGAGTGATTGCAGGGTAACATTTTAAATGTTACTGTTCCGTGTTACGATAATGTACTAAATAAGGGCGAAGCGGATTCGGTACCCTTTTATCGGAAATTTCCACACTGTCATCATTGTTAAACCGATGCCATTTTAAAATATGCTTTTAAAATTTCGAACTCTGCATGAGTCTTTTATGCCAGATATTTTCCTACACAGATGTAATGAAATTTAAAGCGTACCTCGTTCCAATGTTGACTATAGTAGTAGTATTGTCTAGAGCAGAGTTTCTTAAAGTGGGGTACACGAACCTGATAACGGCAGGGGGTACATAACAATATTTACGTAATGGTAAAAATGACTCAAAATTAAGGACCCTGTTACATTTTGACTGTGAATTTTGAGTAAAATATACTTTTTTGCGTTCTTGATTTTGGAATCAATAATATATTAATAATTTTGGCTTATTGCATAGTGCAGAATAAACATTAGCAAAGTTTGTAGCGGCTCTGTTTTTTGTAAATTAAGGGTTTGCTATTATTAGCAATATATAACGGGGGTTCATGCAGCCAAAACTTTGAGAAACCCTGCTTCAGAAAATGTATGCTTATATATAGACCTTAACAAAGATTATTAGTAAACAGGAATGACACTCGTAAACGTTATGGACTAACGACTTATGTTCGAAGATCATTTTTCATGTATTGTTCTAATGTATTAATTATATGTATAGGTACAATATAATGTCAGATGAGAAGTAATTTGTTAAAGACAATTAATAGTATGGCGGCATAACGGGTTTTAGTGCATTATTCCGATAGGTGGACACTGAAAGGATGATGCTTCGCAATAGTTACGAATATAATTAATGTATTAAAATATAATTATATTGATTGTATGTATAAGCCATTAAATGCGACCCTTATCCTCTCACTCCTTTTACAGGGTAAGTTTGCAGTCAGTAGGTATAAACGGCTGCACGTCAGGCTACTACAATATGTCAAATTATCTCAATTGATTTTGAACTTTACCAAGAAATACATTAATGTTGAAAATTGAGTGGAGAAGATTAACAGTTTTGTATAGGTGTTGACTGTATAATTTTTTTTTAACGAACTAGAATCGTTAATGGATATTATTTTGTAAAAAAAATAAATAGTAGGTATCATAATTTCATATTAAAATTTGTTTATTTACAGTTTCAATTTTAATTTAACATAAAGTAAAGAAAATTGTATATCTATATAATTTCGGTCATTACCCTCCGCGTACAGTAGCAATGTCTTTAATGATACCTCCTTTCTTCCTCATCTCCGAATTCAATAAGTTAAAAAGAGAAAAGTTAGTTCATTGAATAAATTTTTCCTGTATACGTATCGATAAGTTGCGTGTTGAAGAACATGTTAAATTGATTACCACTTATGTCTAAATAGCGCTGAGAGCTGTCAACGCATTTAATCGGCTATACTAGAGATAAATTCCAAATATTAAACAGGACCTATTAACGTAATTAATGTTAGATTAGGAATATGAAGAATTTTATAGTTGTTTGTTGTAAATGTCAGTTTTAATTAATCTATTTTACAGAAAAAAAAATGTTTAATAAAATATTTGTAAAATAAAATGTGCCGTTTTATTTTTGGATTTGCGGTTGTATCGATCATCTTGGAGGGCTATTATAATATGAGTTTAACGGTGTGTACACAAAGGTAAGGCAGGCGGGCGTGCGAGGCGCATTCCGTCGGAGGGGCTTTGCTCAACTATGCGGTCGCGTACCGATGGTGCGACGACATGACAACATTGTTATAAACAATTTGTGTCAAAACTTGTCACACTTCAAATATACAGTGCACATAAATACAGATAATGCACGTAAAGTTATCCTTTCAGTTTACTATCTCCAAGGCTCTGAGATAGATTCCCGGCAGATAGATTTAGACGAAAGTAAATTTTCTTTAATTAGCTCTGGTCTTAATGGTTGTAGTGCCTTTTTTGTATTAGATTTCTATATAATTTTTCTTATATCACTCCATTCCATACTTCCTACGTTAAGATCCGAAAGATCAACAAAGTAGTTGTGGAACTAGGTAGTGTAGACTCATAAAGAATA